GCCCTCTAGTGCCGAATTTCGGCGGCAAAAAAATGCGCAAAAAAGACGCTATTTTCTAGAGAACGGAAGTAGTGCAACCGGTGAACAACTCGAGGCTTACTGTTATACGCCACCTATAACGCATACCGCATTGTACTGTTCGCGGAAGTCGTAATCGAGCGCCCCTGTGGAATGGTTATCTGGAACTGGCAAGAGAAGCTACATTGTCATTGCATCTATGATCTAAGTTCTAACAGGTTTCGTTGCTAAGAATCCGAGGAGGGCCCAGAGCCATAACTGCGAGCTTTACAGCCTTTGTTGTTCGCTTGGCACACCCATTTTTCTTTAGCTCCTAGATCCCACACTGAAATATTAAATACTAAATTACTTGATATTAATTATTATAATACTTGAAGAAGCAAGAAAACCTTATTTATTTGTGCCTGGTTTCTCAGGTTTCTACCGCTAACCAGCCGGAAGTTGATCACTTACCACCACGCGTGCCACGTAAGTGGAGAATCTAGAACTACAGAAAAATGAGAATGACCACGCACCGGCTACCATTGAGCCTTGATGCTTGAAGTCAACGTAAATATATTTTTGTTTTGATCATTGATGACGGCGGCGCTTATATACTCGAAATTCGTATTGTTTCTTGCACCAATATAGAGTATAGCAAAGTAGAAAGTATATGACAGTAGTGAAGTAACTGTATATGCAACGCTTTGCCGTATAATGATTGTACACACAGGCACACTTGAAAGCGTTTCAAATAAAAAATAGCGCTGTGGACTAATTATGCCCTGGCAAGCCGGGGCACGGTACTTCGTTTCCCTGAAATGCCCGGACAAGTTCTTAAGCGCTAACTCTAAACCCTAACCCTGAAACGCTAACAAACCCCTAACTCTAGCCCTAAACTACGAGACACGTAACCCTAACCCTAACATCTCTAACTTTAACGCCTAACTCCTTGTTTACTTGAGATGAAGCTAAAAATTAAACACTGGCCGGATTTAGGAAATCGAAGAACGCGTGCCCGGCAGGCGTGTATTTTTTTCCTAGGTCAATCAAGAACATAGGTGCTAAACAGCGCTGCCATTGGTTGATACAAATCAACGTGCCTCAAACTCCTGTTTTATGGTGGGCATGTCACTGCATTGGACCCTAACCGCCTAACCCGAACCCTAACCCTAACCCTAACCCTAACCCTAACCCTAACCCTAACACCCTAACCTAACCCTAATCCTAACTATAACCGCAAACGCTCTATTAAACAAATATATAAAAAATTTAATCTTTGTTAATTTGTGTAAAAATTAATGTTGCTGTTATTAAATGTTTGTAAATAAGTCATGTAAATATTTGCGTTAATTGAAAAAAATGTTAAACAGATAAGAGATAGAAAAACACAGAAAACGAGAAAAATAATTAGAAACGAATGACGGGATTCGATCCTCCGACTTTCATACTTGACGCCAAGCGTTTATACGGCACACTAGCTAATCGAGTCATATAGCGAATAATAGTTTTGGATGTGCTATGTATAATCGCGAAGAAAACAAGCTTCAACCAATAGCAAGCGCTGCATACAGCCCTATGTTCTTGATTGACTAGAAAAGAAAATAGACGGGCGCGAGCCGGCAGCCGTCAGATATACGCCGGCTGGCCGGCATAATAGCCACTGTGTAAAAATATAGGCCCAGTGGCTACGCGACGCGGTTCCGGACGAGGAGCCGCTAGTTAGCAGTGTCCGGACATCCATCTCACACAGTGATCTTGCGACAGCGCTACGTATGATTGCGCACGGACACTGCTGATTGCCGAGTGCGTGTGTGTGTGTGTGTGTGTGTGTGTGCGTGCGTGCGTGCGTGCGTGCGTGCGTGCGTGCGTGCGTGCGTGTGTCGTAGGCCCTCCCTCGGATTCTTGCAACGATTTCAACGAAACCTGTTACGTTAGAACTTAGATCATAGATGCAATGACAATGTATCTCACAACAATTTGTCCTAAAGTAAAGATCACGCATATTTTCTATGTACATTGATAAATATTGACATGCTAATTAATACTAGACAAATTGGTATGCAAAACCAAGTCAAAGTGTGGCACCTGTAGTTTAAATTTTATATTTGTTGGTGTTTTAACTTTTATCATATTTTTCTTACAAGCCTCGAATCCGCGCATGTATTTTACAGTTAATATGTAATCTTAGATAAGGTGTTGACATAACAATATCGTATCGATATTCTAATACTATGGTCTACGATGCCCATCCATAGAAATAGAAGTGCCGGTGCCCATCACCAATGTGCCTATTTGCCCATCACCAAAATGTGAAACATTTGACATGGGATGGCGCCACAGTCGCGGATGTAAACAAATGACAAGTCACAATGGCTGGAAATTAATATTTTCTATTCGTAAATGCTGTTGTTTTCATGACGTGTCAATGTTTACTGTTATCCATTCTAGTCAGTAACATCTAATAGACTAGTGAGATGCCATGAGTGGAGTGGCGAGGAAGATCATTGTTGATGTACTACTACAGGCGGATGGATGTCTGACTGACAATCGTACTAATAATACTAATAGTACTAATACTAATAGTAATACTATTACTGCCGTCAGTGCCGAAGAAGAAGAGGATACGGTCACTACCTCGCTAGGTGGAAAATTGTTGCAGCCGGCTCTGCCACTATCTCGCTCCACCTCGTAAGTATACTAGTCTTCCTTATCGCAGATCGTAACTCGTAATTAGTAGTCTTCATTCTTTTAAAACTTGTGGCAGTGTGTTAAGTTGCATGTTACACTCGGTGACTCACTTGTCGTAGTGAAATGTAGCTCCACCGTAAACTGACCAGGCTCTCCGACTGTTCCACGGCGTAGGACTCTCGCCTAGGACGCGGAGGAGGAGGTAGGCCTTTCGCCAACGTAGTGTTAAGCGAGAAGGGAACTTGTGGCTAGCTCCATCGGTGTATATAGCCACTTCGCTCCGCGACAGGAGCTCGATCACACAGGCACTTGAAGCGTTTCAATAAAATATAGGCCGTGGCTACGCATCCGGACATCCATCTCACACAGTGATCTTGCGACACGTACACGCATGATTGCGCAACGGTACGCTCTGATGTTTGCCGAGTGTGTGTGTGTGTGTGTGTGTGCTGTGTGGTGTGCGTGTGTGTGCGTGTGTGTGTGTGTGTGTGTATGTGTGTGTGTGTGTGTTGTGTGGTGAGAGAAAGAGAGAGAGAGAGAGAGCGAGCTAGAGTGAGTGTGTGTGTGTGAGAGAGAGAGAGAGCGAGAGAGGACGGATGAAAGGATAGACGGCAGCAAGTGCATATATATTTATTATATTTTATATTTTCGGCAATCAGCAGAGCCGTCCCGTTGCGCAATCATGCGTGTACGCGAGTCGCGCGAATCACAGTGGATGTCCGGATCGTACCTGGTAGGCTAGGCGACCGCTGGGTTGCTCGGGTTCCGGACGCGTAGCCACTGCGTAAAATATAATGCTAACTAAATACGAAATCTATTTACTACCAAATCCTACGTGCAACCATATATGCTGCCGGCGACATTGCTCTCGCGGCGTCACTGTTGCACGCTTACACTAATATATATTGCAGGTAGGAAAGCGGGATCGCAAAATTCACTCGACGCTCACTGGATTTCACACTTTCACAGCACGAATACACATCCAACAGCTGCCATCTTTATTTCTATGTCAAGAACAGTGTCCACTTGTTATAAAAACAAACTGTCTCTGTTCGTAACCGAGCTGTGTCACACGAAATCACACAAAGACTGACGAAATTCTCGCGTTCGCGAACCTTGCCCGTAATGTAAATGGCTGTCAGAATCAGGAAACACCTACCGGCGCTCTTTGTGACCTCATTCTTGCGCCGCAACGTTTTTGCAACGTTCCAATGGCGAGGCTCGTACGGGAGTTGGAAAGCAGTGCGCCGCCTGCGCGCCGCCTATAGTCCATAGACTGGCACTCACTCCCACCTCTGGGCTTAGCTTAGTCACTCGATGGGTAATCGAGGTGGGAGTGAGTCCCAGTATAGCCCAGATTCTGACAGCCGTTTACATTACGGGGCAAGGTTTGCGAACGCGAGAATTTCGTCAGTCTTTGTGTGATTTCGCGTGACATAGCTCGGTTACGAACAGAGACAGTATGTTTTTATAACAAGTGAACACTGTTCTTGACATAGAAACAAAGATGGCAGCTGTTGGATGTGTATTCGTGCTGTGAAAGTGTGAAATCCAGCGAGCGTCGAGCGAATTTTGCGATCCCGCTTTCCTACCTGCTATATATATTAGTGTAAGCGTCCAACAGTGGCGCCGGCAGCGTATATTGTTGCACGTAGGATTTGACAGGAAACTGTCGGCAATAATAGGTGAAAGAGAGTATAGAAACATTAAGAATTTGGTAGTAAATAGATTTCGTATTTAGTTAGCATTATATTTTATTGAAACGCTTCAAGGGCCTGTGCTCGATCATGTAGTGGAAGTGCAGGGGGGGGGGCTACACCGGTAGAGCTGGAGCTGGATCTGGATAGTTTGCTGCGTAGCCCACGGTTACGTGGATAATAACGCAGGGCTATAGCTAGCCATGGGGTGTGACCTAGCTTGGGTAAAGCCAGGTAGTTAGCCTTTACGGCTTTAGCTAAGTCAAATGAGACATTAACGGCATATCCCAAGAGCTTAAACTGGATGACATACCCAAGAACGAAAGTCATGACGTTTTGATGGGAAAATACAGCATATTCTTAAACATTGACACTAAGACTCAATGGGTGCATTTTTTTTGTCAGTTAAATTAATTGCATTTGAAGTATACATAAGTGCAAAGGAAAGTATACATGTTTACAGAAAGTTGGGTGCGCAAATTAAAATTTATTTACCCTAAACCCATCTCGTGCACCCCTCATGGATGTACACATTCCTCATGTGGCTGTAATCACACCAGACACTGGTAGCTTTGAATGAGTGGAGAGCAACAAAGGCCAGCATGCATGCACACACACACGTACAAACATGCTGCTTATGCTAGATAGATTTCAGTGTAACACACACCACGCCAATGTTACCTTGACAGATACTCATGCATAATAAGACAGTAAAGACACCCATTCAAAAGGGCAATACAAGTGCATATCATTACATAATATAAATTACATTATGTTAACGTTTCACTTTATGTTGATTGAATTATGCATGGTAAATCATTTGTAGATGGGGGTTAATAAATTATGACTTTCCATTGCTTTGGCATGTCTTACTCCTGTTAATATACACCTGGAGCATTGCATAAACTCCCTATTAGTGTTACAAAGCTAATTTTCCTGAATTTTTCATGAATTTCTCAGTTTCTCACAGTAATCTCAATTGCAGAATTACTATAGTGTAAATGGGATATCTATCTCAGTAGCATTAAGATTCCCCAATCATTATGAAAACACTGAATGCAGATTGAGATAATTATTTATTGCATTATCAGGGGTAGAAATTAACTTTTGAACAAGGGAGTCCAACGGACTCCCTACCCTCAAAAAGAGGGAGTCCGCAGCAAAATGAGGGAGTCCGCAGTCTGAGGTTCAAAATTAAAAATATTAACAATAACGCATGTGCTTATTTTTAAGATTCGTGCAGTTGCACGTCTGCCAAATTTTCTTTGGACATCAGCTGAACAAATACAGTAATTCCGCGAGGCCGTGCTCCGGAACGAACTAGTTAGCATGGCAGAATTTTCAAGGAGTCACACGGACTCCTGCATATGTCAAATCAGGGAGTATTTGACTCCGGACTCCCGTTAATTTCGCACCCTGCATTATAAAGAAATTCATAGAACTTTATTCATTACACGGTTGCATTATTATAAATCTTTCTTCCATGCTGTCGTGGCTCCGTTACAGTAGTAGTTAGTGGAATGACCCCAGTATGGTAATTAAACAAGAACGCGTGTTTCCTTATGTAAAGCCTGACAGGACTGCGTTTTCAAATGGTAGGGATTACATGTTTCGGGAGGAAATGCTGGCCACGGCGTATTAAATGCCAAAACACATAAAAATGCAATGGTTGGCTGTGTTTTTACACTGAGCTTAATAAAGCGGACGTACAGGAAACACGTGACATTTACATGTCATTGCTTCGTGTGACACGCAGTATATTTTTGAATGGGGGTGAGGGTAGTCTTTGCGTGGGGCTGTGTTCTGAGGCTGGGGTGTTGTTATCACATGGTACCACACTGAGCCCAAGAAGGCCTTGTCATTTTGTGGGCTCCAGTTGCATGTTGAGCCTTATTTTACTCGAATCCTTTTAAATAATAAATAAAAAGAACTGCTTGACATAAATATATAAAATCTACAAATAAATATTTTCATTATAAGCTTTAAGATGTAGTATGTGTAAGCAGTGTGTATGTAAGTAAGTGTACCGCACCATTGCTTAACAAAAAACACCGTGGGCCACAGCCAACGATCTGTTCGTTACGTTATGTCTGTCGGTAAGTGGAAACACCAGCAATGCCCTCGCGAATATTAAAATCTATGAGCACTTATCTGAAATGGGCAGCGGGCGCTCGTAGAGCTCGACGATAAAGCCGCACGCGTGCGTTTAGAAAGTACCCCGCGATACGTTTCTGAATAGATACGATGATGTAACCCAACACAAGAGTAGATGTAATGTAAGCCCCATACTCTTGTGTTGTGTTACATTATTCATATTGTATCTATTTCCTTACTTAGCAGTACTCCTGCAACTGTTCCCGGGAGCAGCGACATCAGGGGGCGTGTTTGTAGTAACGCAATCGGTGTGTGTTCGTCAGGGGCGTAAATCCCGGGATGGGGGGATGCATCCCCCCGCTCTTGAAGGAGGGGTGGATGGCCTGTACAAATATCACCCCTGAGATTCAAAAAAAAAAAGAGAAAAAAAAAGAATACCCAAAAAGTATGGTTGCAAACATACAAAAACACGTGAAATTGTGAGAAATTGCAATTCTTACCTGTGTTTTAATACATGTATTATTACTATAGTAACCTAACTGTGTACGCTCTCTGAAAAGTCATGAAAAATGTTTTGAATCCTAACTTGTAGGGTTGAGTCTAGGTTTGAGATAGTGTCATCAGACATGGGAATATGGCCACAGTATGCCTCAGATTGCAGGAAAATGGCTTAAATATTTCAAAATCTGGCATGCCCCAGACCCCCCTAGCACTGGCATGCCCCCAGACCCCCTTAGCACTGGCATGCCCCCAGACCCCCCTAGCACTGGCATGCCTACGGCACGCTGGCCTGCCTGCGGCAGCCAAGGTTAATTTCGCCCCCGGCTATCGCCGATCATCCCCCCACTCCTCGGTACGGATTTACGCCCCTGGTGTTCGTGTTCCTTGGTGATTACGTACGCGTGCGTGCTGTACGCTACTGTATTAGGAGCGGGGGTTGAAGAACCGGTGAGCGTTGCGGCTGGACACGCGGTATTATCTCATCTTATGGCTCGCGTAAGTGCTTCTATATGATGGATGGCTTCATAAAATCCTTACACAATGCTAGCTCGCCGCGTGCTCAGACTCAGGCCATCGTGATCACTCGGGGATGCTACTGCTGCTGCTGATGATGGTGATGATGATAATGATTACGATGATACTGATGAAGATGATGACGTTGCTGCTGCTGCTGCTGTTGCTGCTGTTGCTGCTGTTGCTGCTGCTGCGAGGCCCCGTGCGTCTATACAGCCGGCTGCGAATGCGAATGTACAGTAATGGTTTACAACGAAGCGACTCGCCTCGCGCTTTCTCGTCACTCGTGAACGATGCGTCGCGAGCGCGATCTCTCTTGGTAACCCATTCACCTGTCGTCTGCGCTGTGCTATAACTCGTCCTTGAGACTGACATTGATTCTGCGAGCATTGGCTTGGTTGTCAGTTTAGGGTAGTGACCGCAGCTCATGCAGTGGCGGATCCAGAAGTGAATTCTAGGGTGGGCGAATCATGCGAGCTCAAGGGCACGAAGCACCCGAGGGGGGAGGGTGTTAGGCTAAAATACCCTTGCCCTGAAAATTCTAGGGGGCGACCGCGGACCCCCTGGATCGGCCACTGCGGCTTGAACGTTGAATTCGGCTTGACAGCTGTTGACCAGGATGTCGATCTCTGATTCGACCCGCCTTCTTCGGTCTTGACCTTCACATCGGCTCTGACCTTGATCTTGTGTGGAGCGCACTGTCAATTGTGCTTCGTGGCGCGAAATCGTTTCCGTTCTTCGACTAGCAGATCCATTCGACGTAATAAAATCCGAGTTTACCGAAAAAGATTTCACGGGGAGTTTTTTTCAAATTTTTCTTCTAGCTCGCTGTGCCGCTTTCGCCGTATCGCTGCGATTGCGCGCGAAATGGCGTTTGTACGCCGTTTGTTATTGGCAATGTCCTCGGTAACCAATCCATCGGATTTATTGACTTGCTGATTTCTGAAAATGCTGCGTACCGTTTTGCCGAGCATCGCGATGTAACACGCATATAGGCAGTTCAATCACAAAGGATTTTAGATAATGGCATTCACGCCGTGCACCCAATGATGAATACGAACGCAATACGCTCAGGCGGAACTGCACGCACGAGCACGCGCATAGGCACTGTCGGCGCCCCAGCAGCACCCTTCGACCAGCGGTTCATTTTTACCGTAAATAGAGAGATGGATGCATCCGTTGAACGAACGCGCGGCGCCAAATCTCGCGCCCCGAAAAATCTATTTCCCGTTGTCGTGGGGAGAGACAGGGGTGAGGGAGAGATAGTAGGGAGAAGAAACAAGGAAGTGTGGAAGAGAGGTGTGTGCGAAATAGAGCGCAGAATGGGGGCAGAGAGAGTGCACGCGAGATAGATAGATAGAGATAGATAGACATTAGGGCTAGAGTTAGGGGTTTTGTTAGGTTTAGGGTTAGGGTTAGAGTTAGGGTTAAGAACTGCCGGGCATTTAGGAAAACGAAGACCGTGCCCGGCTGCCGGGCATATAGCCACAGCGTATATTTTATTGAAACGCTTCAAGTGCCTGTGTGTAAATCATGATACGGCAAAGGTTCATATACAGTTACTTCATATTCATATACTTTCTACTTTGCTATACTCTATATGGTGCAAGAAACAAACGAATTTCGAGTATATAAGCGGTCATCAATGATCAAAACAAAATATATTTACGTTGACTTCAAGCATCAAGGCTCAAGGTACCGGTGGCGTGGTCATTTCTATTTGTAGTTCTAGATTCTCCCACTACGTGGCACGCGTGGTGGTAAGTGATCAACTTCCGGCTGGTAGCGGTAGAAACCTGAGAAACCAGGCACAAATAAATAAGGTTTTCTTGCTTCTTCAAGTATTATAATAATTAATATCAAGTAATTTAGTATTTAATATTTCAGGTGGGGATCTATGAGCTAAAGAAAAATGGGTGTGCCAAGCGAACAACAAGGCTGTAAAGCTCGCAGTTATGGCTCTGGGCCCTCCCTCGGATTCTTGCAACGAAACCTGTTAGAACTTAGATCATAGATGCAATGACAATGTATCTCACAACAATTTGTCCTAAAGTAAAGATCACGCATATTTTCTATGTAATCTCGCGATTTCTCTCCCTCTTTCTCCTCTTCTCTCTCTCTCTCTCTCTCTCTCTCTCTCTCTCTCTCTCTCTCTCTCTCTCTCTCTCTCTCTCTCTCTCTCTCTCTCTCTCTCTCTCTTCTTCCCTCCCCCTCTCTCTCCCTTCTTCTTTCTTTTTCTCGCGCACTCTCTTTCTCTCTTCCTCTTTGCCCTCTCTCTTTCTCTTCCTCTTGCACTCTCTTTCCCTTACTTTCTCCTTTCCTTCTTTTCCTCCCCCCCCCTCTCTCTCTTTCTCTCTCTCTTTCTCTCTCTTTCTCCCTGTTTCCATCTCTTTCTCTCCAAATCTCTCCCTCTGTCCCCTGCCCTCTCTTTCTCGCACATTATCGCGGCAATTACGGCCCGGCGACAGCTAGCTATAGCTCCGTGTGTGGAGTGCGTGTGTGAGTGTGTGCGTGCGCGCGTGAGGCCGGGCATACGGCGTTCTTGTGACCGCCGGTGTACGTGCGTGCTGATGTCTGTCGGTACGGAGTAAGACGAAGAAGAAGGGGGAGACTGGGGAGTACGAGGAAGGGGAGTAGGAGGTACAGGGAAAGGGAGGATGTATGTGGTCTGGTTTGCGGGTGTATCGATGGAGTGGCAGCGTCAGCAGCAGCAAAAGCATCAGTACCACCACCAGTAGCAGCAACAACAGTATCAGTACGTTTACTAGCAGCAACGGCAGCGGCGGCGGCGGCGGAGGCAACAGCAGAAGCAATAGCAGCAGCAGTAACAGCAGTAGTAGTAGCAGCAGCAACAACAACAACAGCAACAGCAGCAGCGGTAGTAGCCACAGCAGCAGTAGCAGCAACAACAGCAACAGCAGAAGGCGCAGCTGCGCCGACTGTCGCTGTCAGATGACGTAGTGGGCAGTCGTCAGCGGGAGCGCGTGTGAGAGTGAGCGTTGTGCGCGTACGGCCGCGGAAGCAAGCAGAGGCCGAGGTGCGATTGTCAGAATTTCCCTGTCACAAAGCAGCTCGAATGTCAGGAATCCCGTATCGCACACAACACCAGGACTGTGAATAGCAGGGATTCTGTGTCACCGTCGAGTGAATGTTGAGAATTCCTGTGTCACGGCAGTGTGAATGAAAAGAATTCCCTGCCAGAGCAGTGCAAATAATCGATGAGTCTGTGCCACCACAACGGGAATATCAGGATTTTTATGTTGCGGCTGTGTGAATGTTAGTAATTCCCTAACGCAGTAGCCCGTCTCAGAGGCGGCCTTCTACCGTGCGCAAGCAGCGTGAGTCTCGAAGATTGGAGCGTGCACCGCCACCGGCAACATCAACCAGGAAAACTTCGCATCGCAGGGTACATGAACGCGCTCTTACTAGACCGGGTTAACAGTTACACGGGTGTTGGTCGCTCGGCCGCGAGGGAGCGGCACTGGTCGATGTGAATCTCTAGAGAAGATTGGAAGGAGATTCTGTCAAGCGGCCAAATTTTTCCAGTTGTGTCTCTGAAAATGCGCGGCCGAAAACTTAGCAACGTCTTCGTTGCTAAACTGTGCCGATCGAGGATTGGATCGACCGAGCCGCCGCAATCCGCGCGTGTGTATATATAGATACATTGTCGACAAGTGTAAGCTGTTGTATTAAACTCACCTGCTCTACCTGTGTGTGCCTGCGTGGTGACTATCCAGGCACGCTGAACGCGCAAGGACATCCTATAGTCTCGGATTTGCGCGTACCGTGGTCTTAACATATCGATTATTTAAATTGACTACGTCACGAATTTTCTATGGTAAAATTTGTAAAATTGTTGTTGTTATTTTTTTACATTAAAAGTAAGAACTTTAAGACGGGACTAAACGTATCGTCAAATTCTTACCTGATAAGATTGTTTCTCAACTAGTTAAAATCCAAAAAACCTGGACGATTTGATATTAGTGTTCCCAACATTAATTGCTTGCTATGGGCTATGTATGCGTCACGAGTGTATGTTCACATCGAACAATATACTAAAATAAGAAGTATAATGCAGCAATTTAACCATAAAAAGTGAACAGAATTACTTATATTTTGTGAAAAAGTGGAAATATTTTTTTTATTTTTTACTATTTACGGTGACGTAATCATTTTAAGGAGTAAGTCTATGTACGTATAGTGATCGCAGCATAAAGTGGTGGCAGTGTGAAAGTTACAGCGCTGATCATCGTTATATTAGCGTTGGTGCGTCAGTGTGTGCGACTGTGCATGTACGAGTTTTGTGTTCGTGCGTCAGTGCGTGTGCGTGTATGCGGAGTGTGTGCGCGCGTTAATGCGCGTGCGTGTTTTGCGTGTGTGCATGCGTGTGTACTGTGTACACATGCATTGTGTATGTGAAATCTGCGGGTATCGGCCAGGTGTGTGTGACTGTGTGATGTCTTGCAATATGCAGGGAAGCAGAGTACCAACGTAGTGCGTACCACTACCACGTAACAATTACCAACGTCATGCTGGCTCGCTGCGCTCCTCTCTCTCTCTCTCTCTCTCTCTCTCTCTCTCTCTCTCTCTCTTTCTTTCTCTCTCTCTCTCTCTCCCTCTTCCTTCCTCTTGCTCTCACTCTCTCTCATTTTCTCGCTTTCTCTCATTTAGTCCCTCCCCTTCTCTCTCTCTCTCTCTTTCTCGCTCTTTATCTCACTCTTTCGCGCGTGTGTGCTTCGTCTCTTTCATTCTTCGATTCGCTGTATTTCTCCCGCGGTCTCTCTCTCTCTCTCTCTCTCTCTCTCTCTCTTTCTTTCTCTCTCTCTCT